ACTTTATTACACCTTAAAAGGATTTTTTGATTAAGATTTTAATTTTTACTCCGCAAAATAGTTCCTTAAAAACTTTGAAAATAACTCGGTCTGAGGGATTATAGATTTAAAATAAATGATGAACTATCATCTTTATCAATAATTACAATATTTAATTATCATTTAGATTTCGAATCTTCGCCGTTTAAAATTTGTACAAGAATCTTGTACAACGAGCGTTGACAGAGGTGTTGTGAGCGTAGCGGAAGATAACTCTGGATAGAGAATGAGAAATAATAATTTATTATTTTATAGACTATACCTTTAGTATACATCAGCACTATTTTTAAACATTTTTTCAAGTATAATAAATATCTCTATAGCTAAAAACTAAGCACGTTGGCAGATTTTGTTCTTTAAGCTGGCGGAAATGCCGACTCGCGCTCTCTTTGGGGCGGTGTAGACATGGTTGTAGCTGGAGAGCAGAATGACAAACATTGGATATAACGCTGCTTATATGGGCAGATTTTTAATTACCCAGCTTATTTTTACTTTCTACTTCCTATAAATTGATGAACATAGCCAAGCGAATTCTCTCATTTGCAGCTTTGATTGCACCCAAGCGAGCTGTCAGTATCGAGTCTAATTTTAATTTGAACACTCATCCACGCTAAATCTGACATATTAAAAATTCACGCAGTAATCATCCCAAGCGAAATCATTGATTGTCTAAAATTATTCAAATTTGATTGAATGTTTTAGGTTTTTTTTTTCAATGATAACTGCCACCAATCTACAGATGAAAAATAAACAATACCGATTTGTGTGTGCACATGTGTAGAAAACGAGATATGAAACTATGTCATCCCGTCTATAAATAGAAAAATATTTAAAACCAGCTCTGTACTAAAATTATAAATATCTCGCAGATAACAAATAACTGAATAGAAAATTGTTTTCTGTTACCAACACAGTTAATTGTTTATTTACATTTGTGTATCGATCTCTCTTATATTATGACCATATCCACTTAGCATGCTTAATCTGTGGACTAATCATCGTAAGTCATTCATAACAGGTCACAGGTGATCGTCTTGTAAAAACAATCAATCCGGCCAGTGTTTTGATAACAATTATCACTCAGTTCAGGCGTGAATGTTGACAAGAATGGAAGTACAAATTAAAATTTACCGTCCGGATAAATGAACCAAATTATAACGTAAAAATGGTAGAGTCTATAACTTAACCCAGTCAACGCATCCGGAAAAATAATTTCCGATTTGGTTAATATATTATATATATATTGTACGCCGAACCCGATGCATTTTAATGATATTTTAGCGGGAAAAATAAATGTAGAGCAGTCCGAATATCATGGTTGATGAAAACAAATATAAGAAAAGTACTTGAATGGAGTCATAGTGATGTTTCCACATGGACGAAGAAAGAGGGTATGTATAGAACTTATTATTTCATGTATGCATTCATTTTCTTACGATTTCTCTAACGTTACCTGGATACATGCACAGAGTCGGCAATCTTGTTAACAGGATCAATCTCCTAAACAACGGGCAAACAGGAAAACTTGTCAACCAAAAGTTATTCCTTTTTAAGTCTTCTAATGAAATTTGAAAATTTTCCATTTTTGCACTGTTAATTTATAGCCCATTCGGGATATTATATTCCAAACGGACTATTATATCCCAGTCACTGCACTACATATCCCAGTCACTACACAGCATATCCCAGTCACTGCACTACATAACCCAGTCACTACACAACATATCCCAGTCACTGCACAACATAACCCAGTCACTACAAAACACATCCCAGTCACTGCACAACATAACCCAGTCACTACAATACATAATCCAGTCACTACACAACACATCCCAGTCACTACACTACATATCCCAGTCACTACAATACATATCCCAGTCACTGCACAACATAACCCAGTCACTACACAACATATCCCAGTCACTGCACTTCATATCCCAGTCACAACACAACATAACCCAGTCACTACACTACATATCCCAGTCACTGCACAGCATAACCCAGTCACTACAAAACACATCCCAGTCACTGCGCAACATAACCCAGTCAATACACTACATATCCCAGTCACTACACAACATAACCTAGTCACTACACTACATATCCCAGTCACTACAATACATATCCCAGTCACTACACTACATAATCAAGTCACTACACAACATATCCCAGTCACTACACTACATAATCCAGTCACTACACAACACATCCCAGTCAATACACTACATATCCCAGTTACTGCAATACATAACCCAGTCACTACACAACATATCACAGTCACTACACTACATAATCCAGTCACTACACAACACATCCCAGTCACTACACACCATATCCCAGTCACTACAATACATATCCCAGTCACTGCACAACATAACCCAGACATAACACTACATATCCCAGTCACTACACTACATAACCCAGTCACTACACTGCATAACCCAGTCACTACACAACTTATCACAGTCACTACACAACATATCACAGTCACTACACTACATAACCCAGTTACTACAATACATAATCCAGTCACTACACACCATATCCCAGTCACTGCACTACATAACCCAGTCACTACACAACATAACCCAGTCACTGCACTACATAACCCAGTCAATACACTACATATCCCAGTCACTACACAACATAACCCAGTCACTACAATACATAATCCAGTCACAATACAACATAACCCAGTCACTACACAACATATCCCAGTCACTGCACTACATATCCCAGTCACTACACAGCATATCACAGTCACTGCACTACATATCCCAGTCACTACACAGCATATCACAGTCACTGCACTACATATCCCAGTCACTACACAGCATATCTCAGTCTCTGCACTACATAACCGAGTCACTACACAACATATCCCAGTCACTGCACAACATAACCCAGTCACAACACTACATATCCCAGTCACTACACTACATAACCCAGTCTCCACATGGACGAAGAAAGAGGGTATGTATAGAACTTATTATTTCATGTATGCATTCATTTTCTTACGATTTCTCTAACGTTACCTGGATATATACATGCACAGAGTCGGCAATCTTGTTAACAGGATCAATCTCCTAAACAACGGGCAAACAGGAAAACTTGTCAACCAAAAGTTATTCCTTTTTAAGTCTTCTAATGAAATTTGAAAATTTTCCATTTTTGCACTGTTAATTTATAGCCCATTCGGGATATTATATTCCAAACGGACTATTATATCCCAGTCACTGCACTACATATCCCAGTCACTACACAGCATATCCCAGTCACTGCACTACATAACCCAGTCACTACACAACATATCCCAGTCACTGCACAACATAACCCAGTCACTACAAAACACATCCCAGTCACTGCACAACATAACCCAGTCACTACAATACATAATCCAGTCACTACACAACACATCCCAGTCACTACACTACATATCCCAGTCACTACACTACATAATCCAGTCACTACACAGCATATCACAGTCACTGCACTACATATCCCAGTCACTACACAGCATATCTCAGTCTCTGCACTACATAACCCAGTCACTACACAACATATCCCAGTCACTGCACAACATAACCCAGTCACTACAATACATAATCTAGTCACTACACAACACATCCCAGTCACTACACTACATATCCATGTATTCATCAAATTGGGTATGAAAAGGAGGTACAAGATGCAGCTGATGTTGTGACACAATCTTCTGGTGGGTAGTTCATATGTACTTTACTGTGTTCAGGTTAATATATTGCTATGTATTTTGCTGAAATTTTAATAAAAAGCTCTTTTTTCAGTATTTGATACAGATTATATTAACAGTCATGTGAGTATAAGAAAGTTAAATACATTATTCATGTTTATCAAATTAATTGAATGGTTTTGTACAATACATATTATTAAGTAAACATTCTTTTTACAGCTGAACAGTGTAATAGGTGCTCTAACAAAGATAATGAACTGCAAAATTGGTGAATGGTAATTTGTTCTGTTAATATTCCTGTACAAATATCATATTTAAAAAAAATGATGAAATTGTATACATTTGTATATCATAAGTAATAGATAAAGTCTCAGGTAGACACACAACTTTCATTTTATTTACATTTTCCAGTGATGAAGCTGATCATGCCCGTCATCATATGTTTGTAAAGAACCCTGCAGATATGTATGACAAATACATTAAACAGTATTTCTTTGGAAGAAAATTTTTAAGTTCTCAGGTAAGAATTAGAAGAATTATATCTGAAATAGTACATGACATGTAGGTATGTTCGTTTTAAATGTTGTATCAAAAATTGCACTGAAAAAATTATTGAATCTTTTCATTGGAACTTAAGATAATTTATGTGCAGTTCCAAAAGTATTTTCTGTTTACATTTCAATGGACAATATGCTGACTTACTTTAATAGGAACAAGAACATCTACAAACAGTTCTCCAAGAAGAAATGTTCTGCAGCAAACCTTTGCCTGGGTAAGAGTTTGCAGATAATTATTTGATTTTGAAGTCATGAATGCATTAGAAATTTAGAACTGTACTCTATTTGTAATTCCTTGTCATTTATTGTCTTAATTCCTCTTTTTGGTTACTTTTTTACCAGGTCTATATAAAATTTTAAATAATTTTACAGATCCATTTTCACTCGATATAGAACCTTCCAAACTCTTGAAAATGAAGAATTGGAAAGTATCCTTATAGACAGTCCACTGTATGTATACTCAATAATTTTTTTTTTTTATCAGATCTATTACATGTTTAAAAAGCAGCATAACAATTTATGAATGTACTCCCTATACCCATTAGGATATATGTAAGCATGCATTATTTTCAAAAGATTTTTCTTTTTTTCAGAATGGCAGTTCACTATTTCTCATTCATTCTACTGAAAGAAGCAATGGTTTATCTGATCTGTAATAAAACAGGACCGCCTTATGAAGAGGCTGATGCAAGATGTTCATCAACAGAGTGTTCAGTAAAGGATTTCCATCTATAAGTTACTGTTCAGTCCAAAAACTTATTATGCCATACAAACTTATTATGCCATACAACAAACCAGTATTTGGTTTTTTTGTTAGTTCATATGTGATAAATGTTGCAGTATGATGTATAGTGACTGGATTGTGTTGTGAAGTGACTGGATTATGTAGTTAAATGAATGGATATGTTGTGAAGTGACTGGGTTATGTTGCGTAGTGACTGGGATATGTAGTGCAGTGACTAGGTAATGTTGTGTAGTGACTGGGATATGTTGTGCAGTGACTGGGTTATGTAGTGTAGTGACTGTTTTATTTTGTGCAGTGACTGGGATATGTTGTGTAGTGACTGGGTTATGTATTGTAGTGACTGGGTTATGTTGTGTAGTGACTGGGATATGTAGTGTTGTGACTGGGTTATGTTGTGCAGTGACTGGGATATGTAGTGTAGTGGCTGGGATATGTTGTGTAGTGACTGGGATATGTAGTGTAGTGACTGGGTTATGTTGCGCAGTGACTGGGATGTGTTGTGTAGTGACTGGGTTATGTTGTGTAGTGACTGGGATTTGTTTTGTAGTGACTGGGTTATGTTGTGTAGTGACTGGGTTATGTTGTGTAGTGACAGTTTTTTGTAGTGTAGAGACTAGTTTATGTAGTGCAGTGACTGAGTTATGTAGTGTAGTGACTGGTTCATTTTAGCTAATGACTGGATTTAGTTTCTGTATTTATTGGGTTTCATTATAAAATGAATTGTCAATTTTATGCAGTAATATAATATTTAGTTACCTAATTATTATACTTAATGAATGGTTATCAAGTGACGGGTTATGTTATGAAGTGATGTGTGTTATGTTCCAGGGTAACCCTGTTATGATTTTGTAATATTATGACTGCATTATACTGTATCATGCCTTGAATATTTTGCATCATAATTAAGTTATGGAAGTTACATTTATGTTGTAGTGACTTAGTTATGCTTTTATTATCAAGTTATGTTTATACATAAATTGATACTTTTGTACTGTGTTATTCAGTACTGTTATCGATTTATAGTTTACTTTGTTCTTATTTTTTCCATTGCAACAAAGTGACCATGTGACATTATAATTAAGATGGGCAGATATTGATTTCAGTAGGTTAATAATTTTTAAAAATGGAATATAAATTATCCAATTTTAAATCTCATTTTCATTTGTTGGTATTAAACAGTGACAGACTTGATGTTACATCACTGAATATAGTTTAGAATACATGTATGTAAAAAAAAAAATGAAATGAAAGGTATAACAAAACATTTATTGACAGAGTTCTCGAGCAAAATGCATTTTGTTGGACCCTCGAACCAAACTGTCTGCCTTCGGCCTAACCGCCTCAAGCAGACAGTTTGGTTCTTGGGTCCGACAAAACGCATGTTGCCCTCGAACTCAGTCAATAAATGTATATTGACATCTCCAGACCAAATTTTTTAGTCTCTACAAATCTTGCTGAGATTATGTTAGTCTTATTGAAAATTTGTTTGAAAAGTTATTGCTTTATCTGACGATGTGATTTATATTTCCATAATTACATTCCTGTATTGTTTATAAACTGTGTGTAAAGGATGGGAAGGTTAACGGTTAAGCTATGAATAAATAATATATAATAATTGTGGTTTTACTAATTTGTGGAAAGTAATCGATTGCACTGATTAACACATCAAACAAAAACTAGAAAGTCTGCTATTGCAAGCAATTAATAGCGTATGTTGCCCCGAACTGGACAAGACTTTCATTTTTTCATCATACATTAGCTAGATCAGCTTGGACAACCATCAACTCGTATCAGTCCTTTCAGTACTTTGATTTGAAAATCAAAATATTAACTTTTGTAATAATTTCAGATGTGATTTAACTCAGTAACTGTTCAAAAGTTCCGATAGGAATCCATATAAATTACATGTATACTTAAACAAGACAGTATTGTATGAACTGAAAGTAGAAACATCAAGTCAATATTAACAAAAACGCCAGATTAAATAAGAGATTAAATACACCAGCTTGCGTGTACAACAAATTAATAATCAGAATTTTCAATATTCGCATAGATCATTGAAGTATTTAAATAAGTACAAACTTTGTTATTTACATAAATACATCGGGTTCAGGTACTGAATTGTAACCATTAAAGTCGATCCGGAATTTATTTTTCCGGATGCACTGACTGGGTTAAGTTATAGACTCTACCCGTAAAAATACATTTTGTAGTAAAAAAGAGCCGTCCGGATACGGAACGCGGAATTCCGGATAAATGAGTTAAAATTACGTTGAAAAAATCCGTTCCCGAGAAAAATCGTCCAGAAGGTGAAGCGTCCGGATATCTGGCGTCCGGATATCTGAAGGTCCACTGCAGTGGAGCCTCATTTATCCGGACGCTTTGGTTCCCAAGCAAATTGTCCGGATAAGTGAAGCGTCCGGATATCTGAATTCTATTGATTTCTCTTCCAGGTATTCTGTATTTGTATTGTAACTCTTTTATGTTTAATAGAAAGATTAATGCTATCATATAGAAATAATCAATCTCTATCCAGAGTTGTCGTTCCCGCTTCTCTCCCACATACACCTCTGTCAACGCTTGTTATACAGGATTCTTGAAAAAAATTGTAAATGATTAAAGGTTGTATTAATAATAGTTTTTAATTATATTTCTTATCGGAAAACATAATTTATTTTACTTTATTACACCTTAAAAGGATTTTTTGATTAAGATTTTAATTTTTACTCCGCAAAATAGTTCCTTAAAAACTTTGAAAATAACTCGGTCTGAGGGATTATAGATTTAAAATAAATGATGAACTATCATCTTTATCAATAATTACAATATTTAATTATCATTTAGATTTCGAATCTTCGCCGTTTAAAATTTGTACAAGAATCTTGTACAACGAGCGTTGACAGAGGTGTTGTGAGCGTAGCGGAAGATAACTCTGGATAGAGAATGAGAAATAATAATTTATTATTTTATAGACTATACCTTTAGTATACATCAGCACTATTTCAAAACATTTTTTCAAGTATAATAAATATCTCTATAGCTAAAAACTAAGCACGTTGGCAGATTTTGTTCTTTAAGCTGGCGGAAATGCCGACTCGCGCTCTCTTTGGGGCGGTGTAGACATGGTTGTAGCTGGAGAGCAGAATGACAAACATTGGATATAACGCTGCTTATATTGGCAGATTTTTAATTACCCAGCTTATTTTTACTTTCTACTTCCTATAAATTGATGAACATAGCCAAGCGAATTCTCTCATTTGCAGCTTTGATTGCACCCAAGCGAGCTGTCAGTATCGAGTCTAATTTTAATTTGAACACTCATCCACGCTAAATCTGACATATTAAAAATTCACGCAGTTATCATCCCAAGCGAAATCATTGATTGTCTAAAATTATTCAAATTTGATTGAATGTTTTAGGTTTTTTTTCAATGATAACTGCCACCAATCTACAGATGAAAAATAAACAATACCGATTTGTGTGTGCACATGTGTAGAAAACGAGATATGAAACTATGTCATCCCGTCTATAAATAGAAAAATATTTAAAACCAGCTCTGTACTAAAATTATAAATATCTCGCAGATAACAAATAACTGAATAGAAAATTGTTTTCTGTTACCAACACAGTTAATTGTTTATTTACGTTTGTGTATCGATCTCTCTTATATTATGACCATATCCACTTAGCATGCTTAATCTGTGGACTAATCATCGTAAGTCATTCATAACAGGTCACAGGTGATCGTCTTGTAAAAACAATCAATCCGGCCAGTGTTTTGATAACAATTATCACTCAGTTCAGGCGTGAATGTTGACAAGAATGGAAGTACAAATTAAAATTTACCGTCCGGATAAATGAACCAAATTATAACGTAAAAATACATTTTGTAGTAAAAAAGAGCCGTCCGGATACGGAACGCGGAATTCCGGATAAATGAGTTAAAATTACGTTGAAAAAATCCGTTCCCGAGAAAAATCGTCCAGAAGGTGAAGCGTCCGGATATCTGGCGTCCGGATATCTGAAGGTCCACTGTACTTTGCTACATTGGTAAATTAATGAATTGCAATGCACATTTTCATCAGAATATGTTCTTTCAAAATATTAATAAGATGAAAAAGAATAAAAATAAAGACTTTTATTCGTACACTTAGAGGAACAGCAAGCACTGCGATGATTTAATTATAACCCCCTCCTCACTTATGATTATAATGGGTACCGTTCATTATTATAGAAAATGGCATGATCGAAGTTTTGCTAGGGAAATTAGAAAACTGTGTCTAATCAAAATGTAATGCAGGAGGTGCACTATGTAGCAAAAAATCTGTGGCAGTCTCAATAAATTTCATTCAGTGGTATAAGAGGAGTAAAGGAAAAGATATGGGTACCCCAAAGCGTAAAGGACGGATGGACGTACAGTTAGACAGACGGACATACCGATCACTTCAGTGTATATCCTCCCACTTTTCAAGCGAGGGGTATAAAACCATTTCATTGATTTTGATACACCATGGTGAATAAAATGAAACTTGTGTGCAACCCCTTCGAAATATTATTCTCACGGTAAGAAAACATTCACTGTAAGTATTACTTTGTAACGGAGAGTAGGGAAAAATTGTTCTCACTAAAAAGTATATCTGAATGCACAGCCGCTGCGCGTCCGTTTTCATTAGCAGGAAAAAACAAAAGAATCCATGGACAATCCAATGTGTAAATGATTGCCCTTTAATTTGTATATACAACTTTAGTCTTGTTTATACTGACTAAGTCATTGAAATAATGACTTGAATCAAGCTTATTAATATCCTTGCTTTATCAGCTTGATGGTAAATAGCCTGTCTCGTTTAAGAAATTGTCTGTTCGTAGGTCATGCTCTTGTACATCGAATTTCTGAGAGACGAAAACCCCATATGCAGGTGATAAAATTATACTGCTACTAAATAAGGGAAGTTGACGATAAGTGGCTATTTTTGCCGGCGTAATCTGACAA